TTTAATAGAAATTGAAAAGTGTATTAGTAAAAGGCAACTCATTAAATGTGGCTCACAAGATTCTCCCTTGTGTGAATTTCTTATTTATGTTAACTTCTTTTTTCTCCTTTCTTCTTCTGTGTTTCTCTTTGTGAAACTTGTGATGATATACTCTTATTTAATGACCTCATTTGTGCATGTTTAATTATTAGTTTTTCATTATTCTTTTAATCCATGTTGGAAGAAGGCAGATAAATTTTTTAATGACGAAACACATGCATGTGTATTTGCATTTTTAACTTTTTCTCTTTTTCTAATCGGTTGTGGATGAAGGCAGATATTTCAAAAGGAAGTGGCCATGGAGTCTGCAGTCTCAACAAAATTTGACAGTAATTCCCCCTTCTCATTGTTGCCTTTTAGTCATAAAGTGCAAAACCTTTTAGTAGCACTTCTAATAGGAAAACTTCATATTCTGCTTTTGATGCAACCTATAGATGTGGAATGATTTAAGAAGGAAGATAATTGGATGTAGATGTATTAGATGGCCAAATAAGTACATGCATTCTCCAGTGACTGATGCTAAAGATAAATATGTTTTATCTGTTGGAGTGTGGATTAGCTGTAACATCTTTTTGATAACAAGTTTCTGAATTTTGACAATTTCCCTTTAAATCTCCATTTTGTTGCAGAATGTTTGAATAACCTTCTGATCACTGACAATTTAAATGTGAAGAAGTCATTAATTATGGTGTCTGCATGCCTATTTGGTCAAACCTTGTGGTTGATCTCTGCACAAGTAGCATATGCTAGTGAACTTACCCGAGGAAATGCAGTTTATGAGATTGGAGAGTTGTTTGAATTAGGAATCCAGTTATCTTATCTACTTTTACTATTGGGTTTGCTTGGGGCTGGAACCTTTTTTGTGATCCGTCAAGTACTTGTACGCAGAGAACTTGACCTTTCTGCCAAAGAATTGCAGGTAAGCCTATCTTCTTTTTACATGCCAAGTTTTCATCTCTAACTATTCCGCTCATAAAACCTTGACATTTGTGGGCCTTAAAATTGAAATGAAGACGAATTAAGCTTATTATGCTAAGATTAAAGTGACTTAGAAACTTTGAGCTTTCCATCTCTCTTTGCTCTCACAATGATTGCCGTATATGCATTTGCCCCTTTCCACATACATTATTGTTATTTTTATTAATATTGAATTTCAGGAGCAAGTAAGAAGTGGTGATGCGAGTGCAACTGAGTTGTTTGAACTAGGTGCTGTTATGCTAAGAAGAAAATTTTATCCAGCTGCTACAAAATACTTGCTTGAGGCAATTGAGAAATGGGATGGAGATGAACAAGATCTCGCGCAGGTATGGAATTTTTTTGGACCTTCCATGTGTTACAAGTGGAAGCACTTTCATTTGATAATTTTATCTTGCAAAAGTTGCAATGCATGTCTTGCTTTGCAATTGCTAGTATTTGCATACGCTATATGAGAGGTTTGGCTTATTTAGACTCAATTTTGTAGTCATTAGCATGAAAAGTGTATGTGCATACACATCTATGCATGCATTAGCAATTAGTCATGGAATGATGTAGGGCTTGATAATCATGAACTTGCTGTGTTGATACACAGGTTTACAATGCCCTTGGTGTCAGTTACATGCGGGATGGAAAGCTGGAAAAAGGAATCAGTCAATTTGAGACTGCTGTGAAGCTTCAGCCCGGTTATGTCACAGCCTGGAACAACCTTGGCGATGCATATGAGCAGAAAAAAGACTATAAATCCGCCCTGAAGGCATTTGAAGAAGTGCTACTTTTTGATCCTAACAATAAGGTCGCACGTCCTAGGAGAGATGCATTGAAGGATCGCGTACAGTTGTACAAAGGAGTCTCTATCAAATCAAAAGACAGATGAGATAGTCTTTTGGCTACAGGGATTTGCATTTTTCCTCTATTTTTCTGACTTTTACGTCAAAAAGAAAATTTTATTTTCTCATGTTCTTCCTTCTTTTTTCAGTTTTGCATTCAGCTTGTGATCACTGGATTGTAGAAATCCTTTTTAACACCCTGAAGACTCTGGAATAATGAGAACAAATTAGTATCGAAGTATGCTGCATAAATGCCTCATTTCTGTGATTTTTTAAACCAAGCAGCTGAGGTGATGCTCAATAATTGGTACGGTTTGAGGAGGCTATTTGGATTTCATTTTCCCTTAATTTTTTTTTTATACATCTGAGGGTTAATTGCTTGGCATGGCAGAAGTTTGAATTCTTAACCTTGATCCCAAATCAAAGCTTTTTAGTTAGTGAATTCCAACTTAACCAAGCTCTTGTTGGTTCTTTTTCCCTTTATTCAACCATATGAACTCCTCTCTTTTCTTAGAGATTTTCTTTCTTTTTCCTTTTCGAGCATTGCAAAGTTGGAAATAGGATAACTGATTGGATTGTATTGTATTCTTGACATTTCTGGGTTTCTTTTGTTCATTTTACATGATTTGCTTCAGCAAATGAGAAGGAAAGGAATTTAGAATGGAGATTTAAGGTAAGAAGGGAACCAAAATGAAGCACTGATTCGGCAAGCAAAAGGATAGAAAAGAATAGATACTTAAGGACATCTCTGTTACTACATAATTACTCTAAGGGTTAAATTGTTCTAATTCAATGATGTAGGTGTTGAACCTGGTGCTATTATGTTGGGAAGGAAATTGTGCCCGGTTCATGCTGAGTTGAATCATAATTTTCAAAAGGTAGTATAGACTGAGTAGTAAAGAAACAGAAAATACGTGAAAGATTTGATCCCAAAAAATTGTTTCTCTTCTCCCGTGTTCAATGGTATTGGAAATAGAAGAAGGTTCATCTACTTGGGTAGAACAGCTTACCCTTTCAAGTTAGACCCAACAAGTAAGCTAGCTGTGCGCATTAGGTCAATGCATGATCATATGTCGGTTTGGCCCAATTGGTTCATGAGTGAAAAAAGTCACACATGACTTTGTAATCCAACTTGTAAACGAAAAGAATCAAAGTAAGTTGCCAATAAAAAAACGTTACCTTTAATCGATTTTAAGCAAATAAAATAGAATAAAATGAATAAAATAATTGAGTTGTATCAACATTTGTCATGTCTATTGAAAAAATTAAAAATCAAAGAGTCAAAGGCTATATATATCTCTTTATATGTAGCCTAACTTGACGTTGTAATTAACAATAAAAAACCATCTTAATTGTTATTGACCTTATCCCAAACCCAACTAAGGATGACAAAAACCCTCAATCGGGTCACAAATTTTAGACTAAATGGTATTTCCCATCTCCCTAATCTAATTGGATAACCACACATTCACCCCAACCCAAGAATTTTTAAAACTACCAAGTTGTGAATCCACCATCATTATAAATCTTCCTTTATCAAAGCATGAAGACCACAATAATTAACAGATTTATCAGTTACTTGTTTTACTTTTCCTTCTATTAGGATAAAGAAATTCTACACCTCATAAGATTTATAATATATGTAGTCATTTTCTTAAGATTATATATTTAAAAGTGAGATGTTTAATTTGATCAACAAACACAACGTCTTTACCCAAAAAAAAAAAAAATCAACGTCACTGCTTGTGTCACTGACATACATATATCATAAATATGCCAACTATGTTGTAGAAAGGCAGGGGAAGGAAGCTGCTTGGACACACCAACTACTTGGACTTATATCCACATTTTACATCACT